TGCCTTTTGAATAGATTTTTGGAAGTAAAAGTAAAAGATTTTTGTAAACCACAACTTTTTCTTGTGTGCACACACATAAAACAGATCGTATATCTGCAGGAAATTTGCATGCCTGGAGATGATGGATTTCATGTTGGTTTTAAGCAACATGTGAAGTACAACACTGCGGTCCTGTCTGCAGAATTTATGTTTCTAGTTAGAGAGTCTATGATGGGGAAATTTTAATGCAGGAAGAAATTAATCTCAGCCAATAAATATCACATTAGTGAGTCAAAGACAGTCTTAGTGAAGTTGGAGACACTTTTTTCTCATTGGGCACATCTAAGGAAATGAAATCAAAAGTTTGTGCTGCAGCCGTAAATTGACAAGTTAAATAGTGCAGTGAAGCTGCAGAAATGTTATCAGCTGTGAATAAAGTGATGGAGAGGTGGCATCTCTGTCATGGCATAGCATGAAGCCCAGAGGCTGTTTGGAACAAGACTCTGCATGAAGCACTCAGTAGTACTTGCAGGTGGGTTTGTTCAGAGGCTCATTTATTTTTCTTTCCCACAAAAATGACTCATTTCAGACTTTTAAGTGTGAAGCAGCTGTTGCTTATCTCTGTGAGTCACATGATAGTAGAGATCAGGGTCTGCAGTCTCCGTGGGCCAGTTTGTGGCTCTGACACGTCCATGCCTGTTACTTCTGAACAGGAGGACCATGACAGGCACGGCTATGAAAGTGCTCTTGACTGACTCTGGCTTACAGGAAAGAGAGAATAGAGAGGCAAATCCTAAAGCTCTCCATTCAATTAGCGAACCTTCCTGCGGCTGGCAACAGGAACAAACTGCAGCTGGTACCAAAGAGCTAAACTCAGGCACCACTTTGCCATTCCGTGCCTGTCTAGCAATTTGTTCTTTTGTATGTGAGTATTTCAGAAATGCCTAAAACACTTGAAACAATTATTCTACCTCAGCTTTACTTCAGCTGCTGGCAACCATTATGCTGTTTGTCTCCTCTTTGTTGAGCTGGCATTGCTGGAAGCAACACCACTGGCATGACAATGATTGACAGGAGATGCTGCATGGAGAGGCACTAATTGGGCAAAACAGGAGCAGCCAACCACAGCATGCTGGGCAGTCTCCAGCAACGGAGAGGGGACTTGCAAAGCACCCTGGAGTCCCTACTGATAGGGGAAAGGCCACACACACACAGATTGAACAAGAAAGGAAGGAAATGCTTCCAGAATTTGCAACCCCAAGCAGTAGTACAAACTTATGTTACCAAACCAGCTGTCAGCTGTAGAAGGAAGTGATGACTGACTACTCCTTTTGGATTAAAAAAAATGAGTATTCGTAAAAGCATGAGAGAATTCTTTGCGTGCTCTGTCATCTAGAACATGTTACCTCCCTTACTATCCTTGGAACTGTCACCTTTAATCATACCACAGCTCGGTTCTTCCTAGGAAATCTCATGGACTACTTCTTCATTTATCCCTTCCTGTACAGACTACACATTCTCTTTCTTTTGGAAAAACTCTATTCAGATCCTTCTGGCAATTATATCACCTATTTAAAACAAACTAAGATGATACATCTTAATTCAGCAGTTCAACAAAAATGTTTAAATACTCACTGCCATGACAAGCACAAAAACACTAAGACAAAGTAAAATAACACCATCATCAAGAACGAGGCATTAAGAACTTCCATGCCACCTTGTACTGCTATAATGTGATGGAAAAATGCAGTGACAATAGTAGTGTGGCAAAGCCTTTAGCTACAGCAAATAAGGATAAGCCCAAATGCAGCTACCATAGACACAATAAAAGAAAGAAATAAAGTTGCTTATCTTCAGAAGACCTTCAGCAGGCAACAATCTCCAGCAAAATATCCTTGCCTTTGCTGCCAATCCTTAAATGAGGTCCAGGAAGGGGTGAATCTTGACTCCAGCCCTTCTAGTCACTCAGATTCATTGCATACAGCTGAGCTCTCCTGGGTTGGCCCTGCCTTCCCATCAGGTGCTTCATCACTGGTTCAAACTGTGACTTAGCATTTCTTGTACACACCTAATTTTTAAAATACGTTTAAATGTTACGTTTGATCCCTGAGCTAGCTTTAAATACATGTTATTCTCTCTCAAACTTCATTACAGAAACATGGGCATGCAGCTGAGCTTTGCAGCAGTATTAAAGGTGGAAGAAAGGTGGTCGTTCTACAATACTCACCACCTGATTTTCCTTCAGTATGTCTAAGCTTTACTTCCACAGTACCACCATAATTTCTGTATCCGTTTCAGATAGTAAACTTTTTTGGCAGCATCTTTGTGTTTGCTAACAAGGTAGCATGACAGATGGCACACCTAAAGCATACCATCAGACATATGTTTTTATGTAAATACTTAATTTCATAAACCCATATTTATTTTTATTAGTAAGCAATATCTTGATGTTAATCAGCTGATGTTCTGGCACAGCATCTATAACAATTCATAAGACAACATTTCTGAATTCCAAAAGGCTACCTAATTTGATAAGGTGTGCAATAAAATTAGTTACTCAGTAACGGGAGGTCAGCGGAGTGTTGGTGCTCTTGTCTTTATATTCAGTCTCATGTGAGACATTCGGAACTACTTGAAGAATGAAAGATTCTTGTAAGTAATTGGTGTTTAAACAGCAAAATAGGTATTTAGCCTTGCCAGTCAAATTTCAAAGATCTCACTGAGACTGAAAAACATGAGGGGCAGAAATGCTGTAGAATGCATTTGTGGCTGAGGATGAAATAGTAAGAGAGGGAATAGAATAAAACAAAAACACAACATGCTTTTGGTTGGGGAAAAGATCAAAAGTAAAGGCAGAGCAATCGCTTTTGGAAATCTCTCCAGGAGCAGATTTTGTGCAGACACCTGCTGGGTGCCGTCTGCTACTCGCTGCATTTGTATGGTCTGTGCAAGGGAGAACATTTGGGGAACATTTTCAAAAATGTGCCGGTTGCTGATATATCACAAAGTGAAAAGTTTAGTTATTGTATTTACACCAACCCTTTCTTTGAATGGACTACATCTTCCAGTGCATTCACAGCACATCTAGTATATTGGAACCTGAGCAGCTGCTTGTGTCTTGGAGTACTGCTGCAGCACAAGTAATTAATGATTGATTACAGACTTTTCTTCATTGGTATATAAAATAAAACTAATGCTTTTCAAAATGGCCTCCTCAATCTTCAGTGTCTTGATGGTTTACCAGTGGGAGATGCTACAAAAAGTAGCTACATTCACATGTATGTTCACAAAGCTTGAATCTAGTGTGATTTTACTACCTGTCTTCCAAACAGAAAACAGAAGCAGCTGCAGAAATTTTTACTGACTTCTGCCATCATGTGAAATATTTTACCTGGATGGCTAGCAATCAAAATTGCAAAACTGATTTGTCCTTCTGCCTAGTTTACACTCCTACCGAAGTATACAATTTAAAACTATAAATGGTTAATAAGAAATAGAGCTCTAATAGCTCTTTATCAGTGTCTTGATGGTGATTATTAAACATTACTTTAAAAATTATGTAAGATCTGGGAGCTATAAATTTTTTCAGCTCCTGGATGAAATAGAGACACACTGAAATAGGGATGCAGTGTATGAATACAAAGCTTCTTTTAAATTATAAAACAAAAGCTGGCCAAGCACCCAAGCCTTCTTTTCATCTTCCTGTCAGTCCAGCTCAAGATGTAAATACTCTGAGAGAGCAATACATCCTTAGAGTGACAGCACTAGGCCATCACTCACTGGTGAAAGCCACACAAACTGTAGCTTTGATTGGCTGTGAGAACAAATAGCACTGCAGTTCTGCTGAAGGCAGTGCAGCAAAATGTCATCTGAAGTACAGAGGAATAGATTCTCTAAGTAGTATTAAGAGTTTCAAGCCTTTGTGTTGACTGTCAGTAGAAGGCGTGGGAGATGTCTAAATCCACCAAAAGGACACGAGATACCAGTGGTCTTTGGCCAAGAGGCTGAATAACATGAAGGCTACACTAACACAAGGTGGCACACAATGGGAGAAAACAAGGGATCTTAACTAAAATGTGGGTGTTCTTTGGTGCAATCATCAGGGTTTAGGAGGAGACTTGAAATAGTATTTTTTAATGCAACTGATTGTAAAAAACATATTAAAAGACTTGAAGCACTTGTCTATAGCCATAAGGCCACTGGGACTTATTTAGTCCTATAATCCAACATTGAGCAATTTCTGCCTCGTACAGAAAACCTCTTATACCAGTATGGAAGTTTCCTCAAGCTTTTGTAGAAAGAAGCGATGCAGAAGGTGTTTGTCAAAAAACTGCTTTACATCTGAAAAAGTAGGATTTGCCTGGATGTGCAGTACCCAAACATCTCACCATCAGAGAAATCTCAGGGTCGATGTGATGTTTACAGCAGCCCTTTAAAAACAGTAGAACAGACCCATAAGGCTGAGATTTCCCTCCGATGAGTTACATGAACAATAGTCAGGGTCTAAAGGAACCCTACAGAATATGGTCCTGAGTGCTCTGGTTCTGGCAGTCTTATTGGCTCTATGGCATCAAACAAGCATCTATCCAGATTCAGATTTAGCAGATAGCTGAAAGCTGTTTGCATACAAGACTGAGTTATTGTACAAAGCTTTAACATCTTAAATACTTTGCTGTTTTTTTTTTTTTTCACTCAGAAAGGAACACTATAGCTTTTCCAATAATAACAAGAGATTGATCTAAACAGCCACCTACAAACCAGCAGGCCCCCTGTATCTGTCACTCCTTTTGCACACACCTAGCATAGCCCCTCTGTACCTCATACTTTCAGAGCTTATCACATGTATTCCATCTTCATGGGGTGCTCTCAGTGTGCTCCTTGCCAGCCTTGTGCTCCCATTTATCTTGTGTGTTTTGGACTTCTTACCCGAGCAGACTAAGCAGTACAGCTGCCTCTACAGAAATCAGATTGATGCACGTGATTACATGGACTGTTAACTTTGGTTTAAAAAAATTATTTACCTGCCAATACTCACAGACACCTTCACAAACCACTTGCTGATGACACTTCTGTTCACCTTGGAAAGGACACAAAATGAGGGACGCAGTGACATTCTTAATATAAATTTACTGCAGTGCTTGTGCTGCGTGAATCCTGTCATGTCCACAGTAGAACCTTTCTAAGACACTGAAACAATTTACTGAGAAACTGAAGTCCATAAGACGTGACTATTAAAGAAGTTATATATCTTAATTTGATGGTGCTTCTTGCACTTCCACGAACAACACAGAAGTTTTAGGAAAGGCAGCAAAATTGCAGTGCAAAATCACTTCTGAGACAAATTTTCCACTCGGTGCAATAGTTTAAAAAGTAATGTTTTGGCAACTTACATGAAACTTGTTGTTGTTTTATTACGATCTGGCTTTGGCAGCATGTCCTGATGGAGGCCATGCACCTCATAGCTTCTCCAAGCCTGTGTAAGCCAACAGAGATGAGCAAATTAGTGACTGCCTCAGCAGTTCTGTTCTAGTCAGTGGTTTAGCAGAAGCTCAAATATACTGTACCCTAAAATGGCAGCTTCTGCATAGAAAAGCTTCCACAACGTTGAAGTCACACATTCTGAAAAGGTGGAATTGATACTTTTCAAACACACTCCACTTTAAGCACTATTTTATTTTGATCTTGCAAAGAACAGTTCTATTTGTGGAAACTTAGCGATCCTCTAAAAATGGGATGCATTCATTTGCTACCTGAGAGAAATTGTGCCATGTTGGAAGATAAATGTCTAGGATCTTAGAGTAAACAGACAAACAATTGTTTTGCCTTTTGAGAACACTGGTTTTTTTTTTTTGTCACAGAGAGATAGAATGCTGTGATTCTTTTTAATCCCCATGAAGAATTTTGCAAATATTTGCAAGATGTCAAAAATAATTAGACAAAACCAGCTTCACCATCTCAGGTATAAATAGTACATACATTGTAGAGATCAAAGGGCTTCATTGCCTTGCTTGTAAATTTATAAAAAGTTTCTTTGAAGAAAAAAATAGGCAACAATGTTGAAGGAAAAAGAATGCAATACATTCATCTATTAGAGAAACCAACTCTATTAAAACTGTGTCAGAAAGAGGTCTGGATTAGAGGCTGTTGATCTCAAGCATAATGAAGTGCTGAGCTCCTGCAGCTTTACTGAGTGCAGTGAGAGCCAGAGAGCCGTTGATTCTCAGCAAATATTTAAAATCACTCAAGATTTCTCCACTGCTTCATTTTTTTTCAGGGTTAATATCACACCGTATACTTTGAAATGGTGTTTGCCACCCTGAAATGTTTCCACGGAAAAAGGAATGATTAAAATTGCTTTTTTTTATTTTTCAAATATATTTCTGATTTGGTTATGAACAATACCTACCCAAAATTAGATTTATTGTGTCTGTCAGCTAACTTTATGCCTTTGACAGCACTTTTTACCTTTCTCTTACGTTTAATGTAAGGTCAGCTGGATTCTCCTTGCTCGTGTTGGACCACTGTATAGCAACACGTGTCAGAAACCGAGTGTGGCCACACAGGGAAGAAATCAAAAAATTACATTTTGCACAAAAGGAATACAAAGAAAATTAATAGGAAAGGAGAAAGTACTGATGTACTGCATGTTTCTCCTAGGCTATATCGGCAATTCAATTTGTTCCACTCAGTACGTATATGGGAAGAAGAGAATCCACATTTCATTCTGTCCTTGATCCATTTTCATGTTTATGGAAATCAACTGGGAATAGACCTCTATATGAAGGCAATCTAGGTCTGTGCCTGAACACTTGGAGAAACTGAACCTCAAACTGGACAGAATAAGTCATTCTTCCTACAGTTCGTTACTGTTCTCAGCAGTCAACTCTCATAAAACAGTCTTTACAAGCAAAACTACCTTGTTATGAAATGCTGCAGCATCTTCCTGTTGTTTCTGTTCCACTAGTGCCTCGATGCCTACAGTCAGCATTGAACATTTTTTTTCTCTCCCACATATGGATCTGTAACTATTTTTAATGGAACCTAATCTCTCATCACCAAAGTACTTTCAAAATGTAAAGTGCAATTTAACTGTTAGGTATTACTATAGAATATAGAACCTTCCAAGTGCCTACAGCACAGTATGCTAATTCAGACACCACCCATTTAGGCGATGTTAATCATACACACATCTCTCAACTTGTCTTCAGTACATGGGTGGAGAGATGTCAAATCTGTCAGGATAGAAATTTATTACTAGATCTGCTCTATTTATTTTCTATTAACTCACCTATCACAGCAAATTTATCAAGACAGACTAGAGTGGAACTATCCACTACTTCACTTTCCAGTATCAATAACTAATGCAGGACCTTTCAAATCTTGGTTATTTGGGTAGCAGGGCTCTAATGTTCTGCTTTTAAAATACCAGAAAGGATAAGAGAAGTGAAATAAAGAAGAGCTGCTGTGAGGCACTGGAAGGGACAGCGTGTACCCCCAGGATTCTGACTGTTATTCACAACTGAGTACAGCCTTGACATGGAAACTGAAATGCAAATATTTCACTTTCCTGTTGCTTTCTACTAAACTTGGAGGATTAGGCTGCTGAAATAGAATTAATTCTGTGAAGCCTGTTTATTTTTTTGAAGGTTGTTATCTATGTAGCAAAATGGGAAAATAGAAGAACACAGTCCAAGAAACAGTCTTATCCATTTTCACCAAGTGTGAATAGAAGTAATATGATATCTGAGCGTTACATTCCAGAATATATAATATTTCATCACACATTATGTGGAAGGCATTGTTTAAGAAAATCAAAGCTAAAGTTTTAAAAAATACTTATAATACTCTTTTAGCATTCTCCACAATGACACATAATGCCTAGGTTCTTAATTTGTACTAATGAGAACAAAAAATGTAGTCAATGAAATGCTTCTTAAAAGCTGCAAAAGCTTTCCTTGAGAAACTTCAGAGTGATTGCATTCCTCGACAGGTTTGACAGAAACTTATAGACTGAGTATGATAAATACTGATAATACAAACATGGCACAACACAGGAATATATTGAAGTGAATAGAGAATTAGTGGATTTTTGGCCTCTTGCAGCAGGAACCCAACTCCCCGTGGAGTGAAGGGAATAAACCTCTTAGGTGGCAACTGCAGTGTCTATCTGCACTGACCATCTGCCTGTGGGAGTACAATCCTCTTCCCCAGGATAAGTACTGAAGATACAAATCCAGCATCCTCCATTAAGTTGCAAATTTGTTTGGTTTTTGCCTTTCACACTTATTGTTTTCTAACAAAAACCCACAGTACTAGCAATCCACATGCTTTGGTTTACAATATGATAAGCCAGTAACGGCAGTTTTTTAGTACTCTTTTTCATTGATGTCCTATTTCTTGTCCTGTTCTGTATGATCACGACAGCCCTGAATACTATACATATCATTGGCACTGCAGGGTATTTCTAGCTAAGACTTGTTAAGTCCTCTCTGGGTGAGCGAAGATGGCACTCTGCTTAAGTAGCAGTCTCTAAGAGATTATGTTTCCGTAGTGACATTACTGGTGGACTCTATTAAGCCTTTAAAAGTGTCTTTTGTCTAGTTGGGCAAGCAAAGAGAAAACTGGAAGTATGTCACGATAACAGCCTGGTTGGGATGTTCAGCTCTGTTGCATACGTATATGATATAATTAGAATGCTTTAATCTCAACTCCTGAAGAGGTGGCTATGTAAATATTATGCAGCATCAAATTACTCACAGTGTCAAATGGGAACTCACATCATGGTGTTTGACTCTCCGGGGCGCACTGCCCTTCCAGTATGATTTCAAATCCTATAAAGGATCTTTGGTGTGAAAACAAGCTCCCTGGATCTTTTCCAGTCCTCCCTTACATATTACAGTTGCAGTAGAACAACTGTACTATAGCCAAGTGTCTATATAGATTTAAAATGTCTTCAGAAACCATCTTGATTTTTGGCAATGAAATGAAAAAAGAAAGAAATTACTTAACTAACTACTGAGTGCAGCATTTGGAGCTGTTTTTGGTTCTCACTCTTTATTCAGTCGATATGTTAGCTGAGGCGAACACAAAATATAATTGTCTATGAACTGTCAGAATTGCTAGCACAGGACTTGTCTGTGTGCAATGGTCTCTAGCAGCGTGTGATTAACTTGGAACAGCTTTAAAGTCACCATGGAACATTTAAACTGTGTATCAAGACGAAGTGGGATGGTTCAGAACTTGTCAGCATGAGAACAAGACAGAATAAAGTTTGCACTGTAATGAATACAGTTCATTTAATTGTTAAAGCTTATTGCTAACATTTCTAAAGACTGGGTCAGTAATGACACAAATAATTAAACTTTGCTATCTGCAATATCTTTTACATACAAGTATCATTCACTGTAGGATTAATTTATTAGTTAGATCTCAGATGAACTTCAGTGAAAGAAGAGAAAGGTGTTTAAGACTTACAAGGCTGACATGATTATCTGACAGCTTGGTGACAAAACTGGTAACAGAAGCCAAAAGCCATGGCTCTCTGTCCAACTTTTGCTGGGCCATATTATGAGCAAAGGCCATTTTATTCCATATAGAAAATTCAAACTTCAGCAATCGTGAATGTGACAGTGCCGAATATCAGCCATGAGCTGAAATGCCAAAGCAGTGACATCTATTTGTGTCATAGTTTGTTACTGAGGTTGAAAGATTACTTGTTAAGTAAACCTTGCAGCTCTCTATTTCAGCCTTTGGCATTTCTCAGATTTGGTATAAGTAAAAGTTCAGAATAGTTTGGCAACATGGGTGTATTTTCATATCTTATGGAATATTAAAATTAATTGATATATTAGGAGTTTTCATTCAAAATAAATAAAGCACTTTCCTAATTTGATTGTTTTAAAGCTACATTTAGTGATATCTTTATTTGCTGTCCTCCTATGAATAGTTACCATATGTTGGAGTTAATAGAAATTTCGCATCATCTTTTATGAGAGCATCAATTTATCTGCAATTAAGTTTAGATTGTCTAATAAAATTCTGTGACATTTTAGCCTACAGTTTATGTCTCAGTAAAAGGCTCCTCTGAATGTTATTGCTATAAGAATTCATGTAATGACTAAAGATAAACCATTCTACTTCAGGCTGGACGGATGAATATGTCAGCATAAAAATAAAACAGGTAATAGATGAACATACAGTCAGTGAGGCAAAGGAAGTCTCTGAATGGATTTCAGTCAAAGCTGTGCAATCAGAGAAGTTCCACAGTTTTTTTGCAATATGGGAAAGAGATACACAGAGTTAGCAGTTACAGCTTTCTGTTACTCCCAATCTATCTAAAGACTATGAAGGACAATGAATTTCCTAAATAAAGATGCTAATCCTATGAGCAATTTAATGTCTGCTGCGTCCACATCTTTAATTACAAGAAATGACAGATTAAGCCACTTAATTTAGAGCTCAATATGAATTCAT